AGTGCAGCTGCATCATTTTGCCGATGCAAGTCAGGATGGATATGGCACTGTCAGCTACCTCAGGCAGCAAAGGACTGATGGCGTGCATGTCGCCTTTGTCCTTGGCAAGGCTCGTGTGGCTCCTTTAAAACAAATGACCATCCCTCGTATGGAGCTGACAGCTGCAGTTCTTGCTGTCCGGATTGATAAGATGCTTCAAATGAGCTGCACCTTGAGTTGGAAAAGTCTGTGTTCTGGACAGACAGCACCTCGGTCCTCAGGTACATCAGAAATGAGGACAAGAGGTTTCATGTGTTTGTGGCCAATCGTATCAACGCCATCAGAGAAACATCTCATGTGTCACAGTGGAGGCATATTCCCACAGCACAAAACCCAGCTGATGATACATCACGAGGTCTCCGTATGGAGCAGCTGTTGACTAGAGACAGATGGTTAAAGGGACCACAATTCTTGAAAAAAGCTGAAAACAAATGGCCCATCACAAAATGTGACCTGGACATTATTGATAGTGATCCTGAGGTCAAGAAAGAAACACTGGTGAATTATATCATTGCAAATGACCAAAATCCCACTTGTCAGTTGATTCTGTACTTTTCAGAGTGGACAAGACTCAAAACTGCTGTGGCATGGTTTCTGAAATTTAAAGAGACGTTATTGAAGCTGCGATCCTACAGAAAGGAACTGATGCAAAGGGCTCAGGTGGATGTTGAAGCTGTGGATCAGGAGTTGAAAATGTGTAAAGCTGCAGTTTGCAAACAAAGTCTGACAGTCGAGGACATGAGAAAGGCTGAGAGCGCCATTGTTTGTTTTGTTCAGCATCAAACTTTCCATAGAGAGATTGAAACTTTATCTGGCAACAATGAAGTGAAAGGGAACAGCACAATGTATAAACTGGACCCCACCTTGCAGGATGGTGTGTTGAGAGTCGGTGGGCGTTTGAGAAAGGCGGCCATGCCTGAGACCATGAAACATCCAGTAATTTTGCCTAAAAATCATCACGTGTCTCTTCTGATCTTGAAAGACATCCATCACCAGCTGGGACATTCAGGTAGAAACCATGTCTTGTCGACTCTGCGAAAGAGGTATTGGATCATCAACGCTAACGCAGCTGCTAGACGAATTATTTCAAGCTGTTCCACATGTCGGCGCCAAAGAGGGAAACTCATGGAGCAAAAAATGTCAGATTTGCCGTCTGAGAGGATTACACCTGATCTACCTCCTTTCTCCAACGTTGGTGTTGATTACTTCGGGCCTGTGGAGGTGAGAAGAGGAAGAAGTCTGATCAAGCGCTATGGAGTACTCTTCACATGCATGGTTAGTCGAGCAGTACACTTGGAGGTTGCTTACTCTCTGGACACAGACTCGTGTATCAATGCTTTGAGAAGGTTTGTCTGCAGAAGGGGCCAAGTCGTACACATGAGGTCAGACAATGGGACAAACTTTACTGGTGCTGAGAAGGAACTGAGGGATGCAGTTGCTGCTGTGGATAATGATAAAATACAAAAGGCCTTTCTCCACCAAGGAATTAAATGGAGTTTTAATCCACCTGCAGCCTCACATCACGGTGGAGCTTGGGAACGTATCATTGGTATGACAAAAAGGATTCTTACCTCAGTGTTGAGAGAACAAACATTGGATGACGAAGGCTTCCATACAGTGTTGTTTGAGGCAGAAGCTATTTTAAACGACCGACCAATAACAAAACTGTCTGATGATCCACTTGACCTAGAGCCTCTGACTCCAAACCATCTGCTAACCATGAAGGCCACACCAGTGTTACCCATTGGTCTGGTTGATGCCACTGATTGTTATTCGAAAAGAAGATGGAAACAGGCTCAATATATGTGCAACCTCTTTTGGAAAAGATGGATGCGGGAGTATCTTCCATTACTGCAGGAGAGGCATAAATGGAACAAAGAAAGGAGAAGTCTTAATCTCGGAGACATTGTGCTAATTGCAGACCACACCGCCCCCCGCAGCTCCTGGTTGCTGGGCAGAGTTGAAGAAACCTTCAAGGATGAGCAAGGATTAGTTCGATCGGCACGTGTGAAGACAAAGACTAGTGTTTTAGAAAGACCTATTACAAAACTGTGCCTGTTGCAAGTGCATAAGACTTGCCACCCAAGGACTACTTGACTAAACATACATGACCTTTTGACATTTTAAGACTTTAATAATGATGATGAGCTTTTGAAGATGAATTATGAACTGAACTTTCAGAAACTGGACATTAAAAGGTATTCTATGAACTGCCAGCTTTTAAAGAGGCTATGAATTAAGTATGAATTGCTTATGGCTGGTGTATGATGATTTGTGAATTGTTTTCTGTCAAATAACAATTAGGAGCCGGTGTGTTCCAGCCATTATTTGCTTGTGGTAAGGTGAAACTGATTTATGAATGAATGTTGCGTCACAGTGGGCGTGGCGTGGGTGTGTGGTTGTGGATGTGTTAAATGGGTGGCTCTCCAGTGCAGGTGTGTGAGTGACTGGGTGAGCACACAGTTTTTGACCGCTTTTATCTGCGTAATGAGCAAAGTATTCTTGTTCCTTTTTTTTATGTAAATCAATAAAGTGTATAAAACGAAAGGCTCAAGTTTAGCGCGTCAGTTCTCCCTCCCAGTCACAAATGGTCAGCACACACACACATATACACACATACTGTATACACACATATACACACATATACAGGAATACACACACATACATACACAAATACAGGCAAACACACACATATACACACATACACACATATAGGCATACACACACATATACACATACAGGCATACGCGCACATACACACACATATACACAAATAGAGGCATACACACATATACTATACACACATAGACAAAATATACACACATACAGGCATATACACACAATATATACAAATACACACATACATACACATACACACACATACACACACACATATATACACATAAATACACACACACACACATACACACACACACACACACACACATACACACAGACACATGCAAACTCACACATGCTAACACACACTCATACTGGGTGATGCAGTGGTTACTACACTCTAAGAAATAAAGTGATTATTTAATGGATACAGTTATGGCAAACTTTTCCATAAAACTCAGTCAGTTCATTGTGAAATAACTTTGTTGTTATCTGCAGCCTCTGTGGTCCCTTATATCAGATGTAACATTCTTATTTAAATGCAACAGCTCTGAGTGATTACATTCTACTGAATGTTGTTCAATGGTTATTGACAATGTTATGTTGGATTTAATTAACACTATTAGTTATGATTTAATTAACACCCTTAGTTATGATGTATAAACAATATTAGTTATGATTGAATTAACAGCATTGTTTGATTTTTAAATAGATTTTAATATTAATGTGTAATATAAACTAGTGTAGTGTAAAATGTAGATAAAATTGCACTTGTCGTCTTGAGTCTAATCAGAGGATCTTTCATCTCACGTCCTCGAGGATCTCCTCTTATAGATCCCAGCTCTAGGATGTGAGATGAAAGAACCTCTCTAGACCAGTGTCTCCCAAAGTGGGGTCCGCGGCCCACCAGGGTACTGCAGGGGGGCCGCGGGAGGTCATAAAAAAAAAATATATATATATATAATTATTTAATGTTAAATTTATAACGTTTTGTTTGTAATATTAAAATATTTGTGGTCATTATTTGTCTTGAATAATCCACTGTAATCATTTTTATATTACAATGTTTGTAGCAGAGGCTATTTCCCCAAAATAAAATAACCAGAAGAGCCTATTCTTAATGTTGTCTTCTTGGTTATTATTTTGGGGGGCCACGCAGACCCGTCAGATTTTTAAGGGGGCCTCGGTGTTACTGAGTTTGGGAATGGCTGCTCTAGACAATAGACAGCTGAAGAACCTTTCTCTACTTTCACACAGAGACATTAACAATTAAACATTCAATAACCTGGAAACATCTATGACTGAGCACAAATACACAATTATGTTGCATTAACAACTTTATTTTTAACGAGTCAAAACTCCTTTGAAAAAGTGTACATAAAGCAGTTGTATTAAAAATCAAAAACATTCTTTCTCTTTCAACAAAGTGACAAATGGATTACATCAAGTGCAGGACAAAGATCTTATATATTTGTGGATCTGCTGTTGATCTGCAGAGTTCATACGACACACAATGTTTCTACTGCTCAACATTTGCAGAACCTTTGAAGCACAAACAAGGAAGCAGCTCCTGCTCTTCAGCACTTGTGTTTTGTTTGAAAGTTTTTTATCATCCAGTCCCAAAAGCACTTTCTGGATGAACTCAAATGTGCAGCGGAGTGTTCTTGGATAACTCAGATCTCCAAGATCCAGCAGCACCGGAGCACCCGGAGCATCTTTCAATCACGTTCATCTTCAAGGGAGTCACCAGGTTGTGCGCCTTCACAGGTGACTTCATAAACGTCAATCTGCTCAAGTTCCTCATTCTTCATGACACAGACATCCTGAAAGAACAGAAATATATTTTAAATCCAGTACACGTTGACAGCTGTGATTGTGAACGGCAATAAGAAGTATTGGTTGGTTTTCAAATACACCATAAACAAGTGTTGTCACATTATGCAAAAGATGTTCATTTTACAAGACTGTTGGGACCATCAATTACTTATTTATGAAGGGAAAAAATAGAAAATAGATTGATATAATAATTGCCCAACTAATCCATGAGTTGTTGTAAAAGTCAGTGAATACGTTTTTTTCCACACATGCAGCCAAAGTGATGTCACTCAAGACCATATTCATACACACAAGATAAACTGTTGGTTGTAGCGATTACAGCTGATTGAGTCATCTTGGCATGTTTACATCTGTATACACCTGTATATACACCCGTATAACCGATTTCAGTGTAACTTACCATCTACTCTTTGATGAGGTTTTGAGGATTCTCATTCAGGAAGATCATCAAGGATGCATTCACGTTTTAGTACCTTGCAGATATATACTTTCAGAACAGAGCTTACAACTCCACCTTCACAACCTGAGAGATCAAATAAGAAGATTAGAAAGAGAAAATACAACAAAAGCCAAAAATAATAATTTACCTTTAGGATGGAGTTTTAGGGCACAGCAGTTACACCTCACAGATGGAAACCTGGAGAGAAAATATAAACACACCAGGCTCAACAACAATCCACACAAAATGTACTCAATCAATAGTGTTTGTAAGTTCCAGTGTATTTAGCATTTAGCATTTAGCATAGCCATCTCTTTCGCCACTAACGGAGCTAGCTAGAGCTAACAGGATAATAAAACCCATACTAGCAAAAAGTATCCATGAAGTTGACAGATCCCCGTGCGGGACCGGGATCAGTCCTTTCACCGTGGATCCGCCGCTGCAGGTCCACTGTGGACCTCACGGAGCCACGCCCATGTTATTCTCCCTTCACAATCTCTTTCAGGCGGGCAGCGCAAATAAACAAATTAAAAAACAGCCCGTGGTTACAGCGTTGACTTAAATTAAAATAGTTTGTCTGCAGTTCGCACCGATGCATCACTACCGCACTTTGTAAACAGTGTTTGACCATGACTTGTTTGCTGTTAAACTCGTGAAAACAAAAGTGAGGAGGGGAAAGTGTGCTTTATAGCTTTCGAATGCTATTTTACTATTTAACACGCAATTGGGGAAAGTACAATAACGTCTAATAGTCAAATTATTGTTCCATAACAATACAGATTGTCATATACTGCCACAAAATACAATATTATCTCTGGGAACAACATAAAAAGGATTATAAGATAGCTATCAACACAAAAGATGTCAAACACCAGAGGTGGGACAAAGTCATTGTTTAGCAAGTCACAAGTCAGTCTCAATTCATTGCCCTCAAGTCCCGAGTCAAGTCACGAGTCAAGACAGGCAAGTCCCGAGTCGAGTCCAAGTCAAAGGCCAACAAATCTCAAGTCAGTCCCAAGTCCTACGGTTTGACTTTCGAGTCCTCTCGAGTCTTTTTGACCGCGATTTGTTTCTTGTTGGTCTCCACGTACTTAGGAATCGTTTTGCTGGTGCATTCTCGTTGGTCTCTGACCCATGGACTAACAGTTTGTTCCATGTGGTTGGCTGCTGGTAAATCAAAACTATGTTGTGCCAGATGCAGGCTCAGTTACACATGCACAGACCACACATAAAATCAGAGCAGTCCGTGTCAACATACTTTTTATCTTTGGGGTTTTTAATGGGAAGTAGCAAGTGCAGCATATATGAATATGAGTATTGGGCTAGGACCTGTATCTATATAATCAGTTTAATGTCCGTAGTGGTTATTGTTCCAAATGACTGAAGGGACCAATGGAGGGGAAGGACCCTGGCCTGTATGAACTGGGCCAGCATTAGTAATATCTCATAATTACCAATATATCATTACATAATAAAATGTCTCATATAAATTAATTCAATCAGTCAAAGCACTGATTCTCATATCAATGAACCATAAACAATAGTGGAAATATTAATCTAGCTTAGTGCACATAATCAAAACAACTATCTAATGTATGCAAACTTTAGCAGGAGGAGCACAGCAAAAACATACTCATAATAATAGGCCTCGGCGCCCACACAGAAAAATATAAGAAAGAGCCAACAGAGCAGCGCAGGCTAGCGCTAGTTTGACTCACCAGTTCCTCTTTAAAACACGGCACAGAGTGTGACAACTGCGTCGATTCAATTGTATGAGGCGCCTGTAGTGAAAGCATATCAATTACGGTTTGTAGAACAAAGTATGACGTTAGGTCGCGATAAATACCTGCAGCTCGCTCATTTCCAGCTCCCCTAGACAACACACCCACCGGTGAATGCAGTGCGCTTGTTTAGGGAAGTGTTGCTGCGCGAACTGCGGGAAACTCACGTTCGAACTCTCTCGCGAGCGCTACAACTACCGCGAGGCTTTGTTTCTTCAGAGACGGCATAGATAGAAAGAGAGATGCGGAGAAAGGTAAAAATGGCCCGGGTTACGCAAGTCTTTACAAGTCAATTGGCGCAAGTCCAAGTGAAAGTCAGAGTCATTGATGTTAAAGTCCAAGTCGAGTTGCAAGTCTTTTTACATTTGGTCAAGTCGAGTCTAAAGTCATCAAAATCATGACTCGAGTCTGACTCGAGTCCAAGTCACATGACTCGAGTCCACACCTCTGTCAAACACATATATTTACGGACAGTATTTCCAAATGAAATACCCAACATATAATCCCAAAGTACCACTCAGTTAATATTTGATAATAATAAAGAAGTAATTACCCAAAACTGCACGATGATGACGTTACTCATGACTTCGGCAAGGACTCGTTGGCAGTGGATGCTGGACACTGGAGACAGCGCATGCTGAACCTCTGCGCATGCTCAGAGGGGTGTGGAAAAGGCGCTTTGGATTTAATTAAAGATGTTCAAGACATTCAAAATAGTTCGATCACATAGCGATAACAATGTTTGAACTCAATTAAATCCAATGAAACGTTATTAATTACAACCCCAAAATTAACAATTGTAACTACATTGAAAAGAAAAGTATGAATTACATTTGACAACCCCTATGTTTCATTTCTTAGAGTGTACTTGTGCTTCACATAAAGAAGGTCCGGGTCTTTTTAGTCAGTGTGCCCCAGGGCAGCTGTGGCTACAGTTGTAGTTTATCATCCGCTGTCAAGGGTCTTTGAGAGAGAGACCAGAGAGAGAGACCATGAGACCCGAGAGAGACCGGAGAGAGAGACCAGAGAGAGAAAGACCAGAGAGAGATACCATGAGACCCGAGAGACCGGAGAGAGAGACCAGAGAGAGAAAGACCAGAAAAAGGGACCAGAGAGAAAGACCAGAGAGAGAGACCAGAGAGAGACCCGAGAGAGACCAGTGAGAGAGCGACCAGTGAGAGAGAGACCAGAGAGAGAGAGAGAGGCCAAAGAGATAGAAACCAAAGAGAAAGAGAGAGATCAGAGAGAGAGACATGATTCTATATGACACATTGGGACCTTGTTGCTGTGAGGCAGAGGTGCTAACCACTCAGCCACTGTGGGGTCCTCACGTCTGGGAGCAGAGCCACCTCCGAACAGTCCTCACAGTCGAACTGAGAGATGGACATGAATCTGCACCGGACCAGGTCTCCATCAGGGTCCCACCTCAGCAGCCTGTGGGACCGTGGGCAGTTCACCGGGATCCTGGACCAGAGAGAGACCAGAGAGAGAGACCAGAGATAGACCAGAGAGAGAGACCAGAAAGAGACCAGAGAGACCAGAGAGAGACCAGAGAGAGACCACAGAGAGACCAGAGAGAGACCAGAGAGAGACCACAGAGAGACCAGAGAGAGACCACAGAGAGACCACAGAGAGACCACAGAGAGACCACAGAGAGACCACAGAGAGACCAGAGAAACCAGAGAGAGACCAGAGACCAGAGAGAGAGACCAGAGAGAGAGACCAGAGAGAGACCAGAGAGAAACCAGGGAGAGATAACAAAGACCAAAAAGTATATACATAAAAGACCATCCTCAGTCCTGGGTCTACAGCCTCAGTCCTGGGTCTACAGTCTCAGTCCTGGGTCTACAGCCTCAGTCCTGGGTCTACAGCCTCAGTCCTGGGTCTACAGCCTCAGTCCTGGGTCTACAGCCTCAGTCCTGGGTCTACAGCCTCAGTCCTGGGTCTACAGTCTCAGTCCTGGGTCTACAGCCGCAGTCCTGGGTCTACAGCCTCAGTCCTGGGTCTACAGCCTCAGTCCTGGGTCTACGGCCTCAGTCCTGGGTCTACAGTCTCAGTCCTGGGTCTACAGCCTCAGTCCTGGGTCTACAGTCTCAGTCCTGGGTCTACAGTCTCAGTCCTGGGTCTACAGCCTCAGTCCTGGGTCTACAGCCTCAGTCCTGGGTCTACAGCCTCAGTCCTGGGTCTACAGCCTCAGTCCTGGGTCTACAGTCTCAGTCCTGGGTCTACAGTCTCAGTCCTGGGTCTACAGCCTCAGTCCTGGGTCTACAGCCTCAGTCCTGGGTCTACGGCCTCATTCCTAGGTCTACAGCCTCAGTCCTGGGTCTACAGCCGCAGTCCTGGGTCTACAGTCTCAGTCCTGGGTCTACGGCCTCAGTCCTGGGTCTACGGCCTCAGTCCTGGGTCTACGGCCTCATTCCTGGGCCTTACCCATAGACTGTAAATATTAACAGACGTAGTCACTTCCATCTCCGCCGTTCTAACTAATGTGCCACAACTTCCGCGGTCTATGGGCAGTTTCAAAATGGCCGCGGGGGCAGGAACATGTGAAAAAACACATCTGTGCATGCGTCAGCTGCAAGAGCCCCATTCATTTAAACAAGAGACTTCTAAAGTCCACAGCGACTAAACTAGACTGTTCCAGAACACTCCCTCAGCATTGACACACATGTGGAACGGAGCTTTGGACCAAGAGCCAACTTTTGGACCATCCTGTAAAGACGTTTTTGAGAGGTCTGCTAACGCTATATGTTAGCATTGGCTAATTCTTGTTCCGGGTCCACCCCCACAGGCCCGGGGTGGTACTGCAGCATGTCAGGGTCCACCCCCACAGGCCCGGGGTGGTACTGCAGCATGTCAGCGCACGTCATTTTGGACACTTTTGAGCCGGGACCCGCCCACACTGGCCTCACCGCAGGTTTGGCAGAGAGGAGGTCAGTGGAGAGGAGTTTGCTCGTCCGGTGTCAGAGCGGGTCCTCACTTCCACCTCCGTCAGGTTCCTCCATTTTTGGCTCAGACCAGAAATGTCTTCTCCTACGTCGGCGCCGATGTTGGACCTGGAACACCAAAGACGACATGTGTTTGTTTTACAGATATAAACTCTATGGTTTAAACCTCCCACCCTCTCTGGTCTCACTCTGGTCTCTCTCTGGTCTCACTCTGGTCTCTCTCTGGTCTCACTCCGGTCTCTTTCTCTGGTCTCTCTCTGGTCTCTCTCTGGTCTCTCTCTCTGGTCTCTCTCTGGTCTCTCTCTCTGTTCCCTCTCTGGTCTCTCTCTGGTCTCTCTCTGGTCTCTCTCTCTGGTCTCTCTCTGGTCTCTCTCTCTGGTCTCTCTCTGGTCTCTCTCTGGTCTCTCTCTGGTCTCTCTCTCTGTTCCCTCTCTGGTCTCTCTCTGGTCTCTCTCTGGTCTCTCTCTCTGGTCTCTCTCTGGTCTCTCTCTCTGTTCCCTCTCTGGTCTCTCTCTGGTCTCTCTCTGGTCTCTCTCTCTGGTCTCTCTCTGGTCTCTCTCTCTGGTCTCTCTCTGGTCTCTCTCTGGTCTCTCTCTCTGGTCTCTCTCTGGTCCCTCCCTGGTCTCGCTCTGGTCTCTCACCTGATCACAAACGGCGCAGAGGTTGGGACATGCAGAGTGTAGAGGTGTTGGACTTGGCAGAAGTCTCCATCGTTGTAGAGGACGTGGTCCTCAGACAAAATCACATTCCCACAGTCGCCACGGTAACACTCCCATCTCCCCACACCGCAGTCCCTGGAGGTCACCTGTGCGCGTACCACAACCTGCGACACACACTAAAGCTCGCTCTCTGGTCTCTCTCTGGTCTCTCTCTGGTCTCTCTCTGGTCTCTCTCTGGTCTCTCTATGGTCTCTCCCTGGTCTCTCTCTGGTCCCTCTTTGGTCTTTCTAAGGTCTCTCTCTGGTCTCTCTCTCTGGTCTCTCTCTGGTCTCTCTCTGGTCTCTCTCTGGTCTCTCTCTGGTCTCTCTCTGGTCTCTCTCTGGTCTCTCTCTGATCTCTCTCCATGGTCTCTCTCTGGTCTCTCTCTGGTCTCTCTCTAGTCTCTCTCTCTGGTCTCTCTCTCTGGTCTCTCTCTGGTCTTTCTCTGGTCTCTCTCTGATCTCTCTCTGGTCTCTTTCTCTGGTCTCTCTTGCTAAAGCTCAGGCACCTAACTTTACCACCACTAAAGCGTGTGTGGCAGGTTGTGGTCCGACCAGAAAGAGAGTCTGACCAGAAAGAGAGAGAGCCCATAGAAAGACCAGAGAGAAAGAGAGCAGAGCAACGTCTTTTCTCTGTCCTGAAGTCCTCTCACATTAGTCCTGGTCTCAGGTCTCTGTCCTGAAGTCCTCTCACATTAGTCCTGGTCTCTGTCCTGAAGTCCTCTCACATTAGTCCTGGTCTCAGGTCTCTGTCCTGAAGTCCTCTCACATTAGTCCTGGTCTCGGGTCTCTGTCCTGAAGTCCTCTCACATTAGTCCTGGTCTCAGGTCTCTGTCCTGAAGTCCTCTCACATTAGTCCTGGTCTCAGGTCTCTGTCCTGAAGTCCTCTCACATTAGTCCTGGTCTCAGGTCTCTGTCCTGAAGTCCTCTCACATTAGTCCTGGTCTCAGGTCTCTGTCCTGAAGTCCTCTCTCATTATTGTTGGGACATGTTAGAGTCATACTGCATGAACCAACTCTGAGGAGCACAGGGACTGGCCTCCTGCTGGGACTCTGAGGAGCACAGGGACTGGCCTCCTGCTGGGACTCTGAGGAGCACAGGGACTGGCCTCCTGCTGGGACTCTGAGGAGCACAGGGACTGGCCTCCTGCTGGGACTCTGAGGAGCACAGGGACTGGCCTCCTGCTGGGACTCTGAGGAGCACAGGGACTGGCCTCCTGCTGGGACTCTGAGGAGCACAGGGACTGAACTCCTGCTGGGACTCTGAGGAGCACAGGGACTGGCCTCCTGCTGGGACTCTGAGGAGCACAGGGACTGGCCTCCTGCTGGGACTCTGAGGAGCACAGGGACTGAACTCCTGCTGGGACTCTGAGGAGCACAGGGACTGAACTCCTGCTGGGACTCTGAGGAGCACAGGGACTGGCCTCCTGCTGGGACTCTTGAGGAGCACAGGGACTGGACTCCTGCTGGTCCCAGAGTCAGGACTAAATAGGGACAGTCTTCCTGAAAATGTGAGACAGGCTTTTGTTCTGGTTCTGTTTTGACTGTTCTGTGATTATAGATGTTGTTTATGTCTCGCTCAGAACAAAACCAAGATAGTTCTCAACGAAATCTGATCCAAGTCTGTATGTAGGACACCCATAGTCTGTGGTTCATTCAGGACGACAGAGCTCTCTCTCTCTCTCTCTCTCTCTCTCTTTCTCTTTCTCTCTCTCTCTGTCTCTCTTTCTATATATATGTATATATATATGTATATATAAATATATATATATACATATATATACTGTATAAAAACATGCTCCTGGGCTCAGGGCTCACAAACAAAGCTGTGACAGTGTTAAAGTCTAAACCATTGAGAGTAGCTCTCTGGGTCCTATAGAGTAGCTCTCTGGGTCATGAGAGAGTAGCTCTCTGGGTCATGAGAGAGTAGCTCTCTGGGTCATGAGAGAGTAGCTCTCTGAGTCATGAGAGAGTAGCTCTCTGAGTCATGAGAGAGTAGCTCTCTGGGTGGTGAGAAAGTAGCTCTCTGGGAGGTGAGAGAGTAGCTCTCTGGGTGGTGAGAGAGTAGCTCTCTGCGTGGTGAGAGAGTAGCTCTCTGAGTCATGAGAGAGTAGCTCTTTGGGTGGTGAGAGAGTAGCTCTCTGGGTGGTGAGAGAGTAGCTCTCTGAGTCATGTGAGAGTAGCTCTCTGAGTCATGAGAGAGTAGCTCTCTGAGTCATGAGACAATAGCTCTCTGGGTGGTGAGAGAGTAGCTCACCTCCATAGAGCCGTCAGAGTGGTTAGCTTTGGGGAAGAAGCTGGTGGTGGTTCCCAGAGTCTCTGAGACGGACGAGTGGACGAGACTCAGAGAGAGCAGAGTCCAGAGCATCTTACAGTCTCTACAGAGGTCTCTCTCAATCTCTCTACAGAGGTCTCTCTCAATCTCTACAGAGGTCTCTCTCAATCTCTACAGAGGTCTCTCTCAATCTCTCTACAGAGGTCTCTCTCAATCTCTCTACAGAGGTCTCTCTCAATCTCTCTACAGAGGTCTCTCTCAATCTCTACAGAGGTCTCTCTCAATCTCTCTACAGAGGTCTCTCTCAATCTCTCCACAATGTCTGCATTGGTAAAAGCACTGGTCCTGTCTGGGACTGAGAGAAAAGACTTAAAATATATTTTTTGTCAATATATATGAACTATATCTCTCTGGTCTCTCTCTGGTCTCTCTCTGGTCCCTCTCTGGTCTCTCTCTGGTCTCTCTCTGGTCTCTCTCTAGTCTCTCTCTGGTCTCTCTCTGGTCTCTCTCTGGTCTCTCTCTGGTCTCTCTCTGGTCTCTCTCTGGTCTGTCTCTGGTCTCTCTCTCTGGTCTCTCTCTGGTCTCTCTCTAGTCTCTCTCTGGTCTCTCTCTGGTCTCTCTCTGGTCTCTCTCTGGTCTCTCTCTGGTCTCTCTCTGGTCTCTCTCTGGTCTCTCTCTAGTCTCTCTCTAGTCTCTCTCTGGTCTCTCTCTGGTCTCTCTCTGGTCTCTCTCTGGTCTCTCTCTGGTCTCTCTCTAGTCTCTCTCTGGTCTCTCTCTGGTCCCTTCCTGGTCTCTCTCTGGTCTCTCTCTAGTCTCTCTCTGGTCTCTCTCTGGTCTCTCTCTGGTCTCTCTCTGGTCTCTCTCTAGTCTCTCTCTGGTCTCTCACCGGTCTCTCTCTGGTCTCTCTCTAGTCTCTCTCTGGTCTCTCTCGTGTCTCTCTCGTGTCTCTCTCTGGTCTCTATAGTCTCTCTCTGGTCTCTCTCTGGTCTCTCTGGTCTCTCTCTGGTCTCTCTCTGGTCTCTCTCTGCTCTCTCTGGTCTCTCTCTGGTCTCTCTCTGGTCTCTCTCTGGTCTCTCTCTGGTCTCTCTCTGGTCTCTCTCGTCTCTCTCTGGTCTCTCTCTGGTCTCTCTCGTGTCTCTCTCGTGGCTCTCTCGTGTCTCTCTCTGGTCTCTCTCTGGTCTCTCTCAGGTCTCTCTCTGGTCTCTCTCCGGTGTCTTGATGGTCTTTCTCAGAAGGTGTGGATTGGCAGAAGTACTGGTCCAGTCCGGTGAGAATCCTGAGAGAAAAACCTAAAAACACGTGAAACTCTCCTCGAGTCCGACCTCTCGAAGATCCAGAATGGAATCAAAACTTTGGATGTCGTGCTGAAAGTGAAGACCCGGACTGTGGTCTTCGGGGCTGGTCTCGTACTGAAAGTGAAGACCCGGACTGTGGTCTTCGGGGTTGGTCTCGTATTAAGTCCTTTTGAACCAAAGCGTTGCAGATTTTCGCGTCATTTCAACCTTTTTTTGTCTTTCATGTTTCATTGTTTTCTCTGTGCTCAAGTTACAGATGGTATCAGAAGGAACCAGGTCTGGACCAGGTCTGGACCAGGGCCTGTGTGTGTGTGTGTGTGTGTGTGTGTGTGTGTGTGTGTGTGTGTGTGTGTGTGTGAATGGTTGGTGGTGGTGGGAGACTGGTTGCCTCCCTTCTGTCAGTGTGCCCCAGGGCAGCTGTGGCTACAGTGTTAATAATGTGAAGAGACTGAGCGTCCAGAGCGGAATTAAAGACACATTATTATTTGTTCACATTTTATTTTAAGACTCACTGTTTACATTCAGATAAAGTCAGGTCCCCGAGCTTTAATGTGGTGTGAAGGAGACACACGTGAGAACATACCACACACGTGAGAACACACTACACACGTGAGAACACACCACACACGTGAGAACACACAACACACGTGAGAACACACCACACACGTGAGAACACACAACACACGTGAGAACACACCACACACGTGAGAACACACCACACACGTGAGAACACACAACACACGTGAGAACACACCACACACGTGAGAACACACCACACACGTGAGAACACACAACACACGTGAGAACACACCACACACGTGAGAACACACAACACACGTGAGAACACACAACACACGTGAGAACACACCACACACGTGAGAACACACCACACACGTGAGAACACACAACACACGTGAGAACACACCACACACGTGAGAACACACAACACACGTGAGAACACACAGCACACGTGAGAACACACCACACACGTGAGAACACACCACACACGTGAGAACACACAACACACGTGAGAACACACAACACACGTGAGAACACACAGCACACGTGAGAACACACCACACACGTGAGAACACACCACACACGTGAGAACACACAACACACGTGAGAACACACCACACACGTGAGAACACACCACACACGTGAGAACACACAACACACGTGAGAACACACAGCACACGTGAGAACACACAACACACGTGAGAACACACAACACACGTGACAACACACAGCACACGTGAGAACACACAACACACGTGAGAACACACAACACACGTGAGAACGCACAACACACGTGAGAACGCACAACACACGTGAGAACGCACAACACACGTGAGAACGCACAACACACATGAGAACGCACAACACACATGAGAATGCACAACACACGTGAGAACGCACAACACACGTGAGAACACACAACATACATGAGAACACACAACACGTGTGAGAAGTTTTTACACACATTTCATGAACATGGAACAGATGAGTTTGAGTTTGAAAACGTTGTTTTTGGAGAAGCAGGAAATGAAGGTTCTTGGTTCTTTCTGCAGCAGTGAGATAGAGATGTTATTACCATGTTTTCTGACACTAATCCTTTCCACTCACAAAGATTAAAACAACACAACACTTTCTGACACAAGTTCAGCTCGAGTTAGAAACAGAAATAAAAGAAATTGATTGAGACCAGACCTTCTCCATCAGGCCTCCTCTGACCCTGCCCCCTCTGACCCCGCCCCCTCTGGCCACGCCCCCTCAGACGCTCTGACCGAGAAGACGCCGTTATCGAGGCCGACCACGATGTGTGACGGCAGCCCCCGCTTCACCAGCGCCGCCCTGAACTGGAAACACAACAACATTCATCTGAGGACGCCATCTTGTGTCTGTCAATCATAGACTGAGGAGTGTGACATCACCAGCGTTAGCCTTAATGCTAATGCAGCTAGCTCAAGGACCATCAAGACTATTGGTCCTAACTGTCAATCATTGTGGAGTCATGTGACTAGAGGCCGTCGTATGTGTCATCCGAGTGTTGAAGATTCACCATCAGTCGTACCATCAGTCGCAGCATCAGTACCACCATCAGTCGTACCATCAGTCTCATACCATCAGTCACACCATCAATCGCACCATCAGTCGTACCATCAGTCGTACCATCAGTCGTACCATCAGTCGCACCATCAGTCCTACCATAAGTCGCACCATCAGTCATACCATCGGTCGCACCATCGGTCGTTCCATCGGTCGCACCCTCGGTCGTACCATCAGTCGCACCATCAGTCGCACCATCAGTCGCACCATCAGTTGCACCATCAGTCGTACCATCAGTCATACCATCGGTCGCACCATCGGTCGTACCATCAGTCATACCATCGGTTGCACCATCGGTCGTACCATCAGTCATACCATCGGTTGCACCATCGGTCGCACCATCGGTTGTACCATCAGTCGCACCCTCAGTTGCACAATGAGTCGTACCAATAGTCGTGCCATCAGTCATACCATCAGTCTCGTACCATCAGTCGTACCATTACTTGCACCATCAGTCGCACCATCAGTCTCGTACCATCAGTCGCACCATCAGTCGCACCATCAGTCGTACCATCAGTCGCACCATCAGTCGAACCATCAGTTGTTCCATCAGTTGTACATCAGTCTTGAACCATCAGTCTCGTACCATCCGTCGTACCATCAGTCGCACCATCAGTTGTTCCATCAGTCGTACCATCAGTTGTACATCAGTCTTGAACCATCAGTTGTACCATCAGTCGCACCATCAGTCATACCATCAGTCGCATCATCAGTCTCGTACCATCAGTCACACCATCAGTTGCACCATCAGTCGCACCATCAGTTGCACCATCATTCGTATCATCAGTCGCACCATCAGTCATACCATCAGTCGCATCATCAGTCACATCATCCGTCGTACCAGCAGTCGTACCATCAGTCTCGTTCCATCAGTCGTACCATCAGTCGTAACATCAGGCGTACCATCAGATGCACCATCAGTCGTACCATCAGTCGTACCATCAGTCACATCATCCGTCGTACCAGCAGTCGTACCATCAGTCTCGTTCCACACTCACCTGGTGAACCAGTGCAGACCACACTGAGCCCTCAGTGA